AGCCTCCGCCTCCGGATCAAGTGATTTCTCCTGTCTCAGCCTCCCGTGTGTGCCACCATGCCTGGCTAATTTTGTATTTTTAGTAGAGACGGGGTTTCATCTCATGTTGGCCAGGCTGGTCTCGAACTCCTGACCTCAGGTAATCCGCCGGCCTTGGTCTCCCAAAGTGCTGGGATTACAGGCGTAAGCCACTGTGCTGTGTCTTCATTTTCATTTGGTTCTAAATACTTTGTAATTTCACTTTTGACTTCTTCTTTGACCTATGGGTTATCTAAAAGTATGTTATTTAGTTACTAAATATTCAGGACATTTCCAAAGATACTTCTGTTATTAGAATTATTCTTAATTCCAGTGTGGTCAGAGAATATATTTTGTATGGCTTGCATAATTTTAAATTTGGGGCTTATTTTATGGCTCACAAGAATATGATCTTTGTAAGTGTTTACACTAAAAAAGAACATACATTCTGCTCTCCCTGAATGGTGTGCTACGACTGTCAGTCAGATCCAGCAAGTTGATAGGGTTGTTCAAGTCTCCCGCATCCTTAATGATTTTCAGTCTTCTTATTCTATCAATTACTAAGAGAAGAATAATGGAATCACTGACTATCATTATGGATATATCTATTTCTCCTTGCAGTTATCAGTTTTTGCTTCATATGCTTTGAAGTGCTGTCATTTAGTTTATAAATGTTTAGAACTGTTTTGTCCTCTTGAAGAACTGACCCCTTTATCATAAGGAAAAGACCTTCAACTGTGGCAAAATTATTTTCTCTGATTTGTCTGATATTAATACAGCCACTCCAGCTTTTTTTTTTTTTTTTTAAAGAACTAATGTTATCACAGTATATTATTTTTCCATCTTTTTACTTTTAACCTATTCCCTCCTCCTTGCCACCTTATACTTTATCTCATTAGGTCCCTGGCCACAGAGCATCCCTCACTGGACCTGATTCCTGGGGGCCATGCTGAGTCTTACTCTTTCTTCCATCCTCAACACCTAATGCATGGTAAATGTTCAAGTGTTTAAGAATCCAACAAGTTCTCACAGTCTTGGCTTACCAGCACCAAAAATTCAAAGCAAGTTCTTATCTAACTGCTCACAAGAATTACTAAAAACAAACAAAAATCAGGAGTTATACTGAATCCCACTAGTACTATCTATACTAGATACAGCCAAGGCATTTACATGACATGTGAAGAGCAGGGCACTAGAAAATACTAAATACTATTAGTATGTAGACTCTTATGAGCTGTTAGAAATTTCACATCAACCAGGTTTCCTGTATGCACTACACAACTAAGGAAAGCTTTGCTACAGTGTTAGCAATTATTTAAAAAAATTTAAATTTGGCTGGGCACGGCAGCTCACGCCTGTAATCCCAGCACTTTGGGAGGCTGAGGCGGGCAGATCACTTAGGACAAAGAGTTCAAGACCAGCCTGGCCAATATGGTGAAACCCCATCTCTACTGAAAAATGAATGAACAAACAAAAAATTCATGCTTAAATCATTCTATTTTTCAAGATACTTTTTGAAGCTGGGTGATGGCTCACACCTGTAATCCCAGCACTTCGAGATAAAGGCAGGAGAATGGCTTGAGCCCAGGGGTTTGAGACCAGCCTGGGCAACACAGGGAGACCTCGACTCTATAAAAATAAAAAAA